TATATATATATGCTCTTTTTATATTTCTTTTCAAGTCACATGATGCTGAGAATCCTGAACTTTTGGATGAGACTTACAATAGAAAATCTGTTTTCTTGATGACCACAGCTGTTGTTTTATACTGTAGTCCTGTCTGTGAAAAACAAGCCTTGTTTGCACTGTGCAAGTCTGTGAAAGAGAATGGGTTAGATCCTCACCTTGTAAAAAAGGTACATGTGGATGTGTATTTTCTACTATATGCTTCCTTGGATAATTCTTTGCTTTTCCCAGTTTGCATATGGAACCCAGGGTCTTACACTTAGTAGGCAAGCACTGTACCACTGGGCTGCATCCCCAACCCTTGGATAAGTTTTCAATAATGAGAAAGGTTAAATTGGCACCTATTTAAGACTTGGAAATGATATTATTTTTAGGTTGGGAATATTGAAATGGTTAAGGACTGGGAAGATAGCTCAGTGGCGTAAGTACCTGCCTGGCAAGTGCACGGTCCTGAGTTCGATCCCTGGTATAAAAACACTAAGTGTGGAAAGTAATTTAATAACTTTTAAAGTGATACATTTAATTGTGTTCATTGTCATTTTTTATATTCAGCTTGACCATTTCACTAGGCATTCATTTATTGATCTAACAGGGGTTAGGTGCCCTGGAATAGCCCTTATGAACACATGAGGGCAAGAGCATTGTAATTGCTTTGCCTCATAGGTTCTGGGGAAAGCATTCAGATCCAGTAAGGCTAGAGGTCTGATTTCAGGATCCTGGAGCATTTGGGTAACATGAGGAGGACTAGGGCCAAGCTTTGTAGTCCCATTAGCACACTGTTGATTTATATATATAGTTTTTTCTCTCATTAACTTTATTGAAAATCAATAATTATATAGCATATTAAAATTATAGACAAGTATGAAAATGTGAACGATGTCTACATATGTAGACAGTGAATTTTAGAGAAATGTTCCTGAAATGAATACATAGCATGAGATTAATAGATGGCACATTGTACATAAATTATTTACAAACTTAAGTGAATGTAACAATAAATATTGTCCAAGATAAAAGTGAAGAATTTACAGATCAGTCATGTAATAGTTCACTCTATGCCAAAATCAAGAAACTTATATTCATATAATTAGAATTCTCAAAGTAGAGAGGGGTAGGCAGTAAATATTTAAAGATTTAAAATTTCTGAATTTAGTTGAAATTATAGCACCACATTTCCAAGAAAAATGAACCTTTTCCACAAGAAATTTGAATAAAATTATAGCAAGATACACAAAAATGAAATTGTCCAAAACTAATTATAAATAAAAAAAATTATATACATAAAAGCATATACATAAAAAATATCTATGGAAGAGCAAAATTAAATAGCATCTAATTCCACATTAGAAAAAAAAGAGCAAGTGTGTAAGAAACTAGACTAATTAATTTGAAGGACTGAAAGAAAAAAGTCTGCCCTCATTGAATTTTATACTTAGCAAACATACCTTTGAAAACTAAAAGTTGTGCTTGCTTCGGCAGCACATATACTAAAATTAAAAACTAAAAGTAAAATGTTTTCCAGTCATACAAACTCAAAATATTCTAATACCTCCAGACATAGCATATAGAAAATAACAAAGAACATAATCCAAAAGGCAAGAGAAGTTGCTGTATGTATATAACCCAACATAAGATTGACACTGTTTGTAGAAATCTTCAATGACCTTTTGAATGAGTTCATCTAATATATTTAACATCGTCCTGCATAGCTACCATTTTGAGAACTCTTTATTCTTTAACTCAGTATTATAAAACGTGACTCCCACTTCCTACTCTACCACTTTATGGTTTGGTTTGTTTTAGGCCTTTCTGTTTCAGTGTTGTAAATTTTTATGTGAGAAGTATGGGCTGATATATACCTTAACATATGGTTTCCATTTAGAGCTTTATAGGAGGCTAACCTGTAAGTAATCAGTCTGATATAAGTTAATTTTTTGCCTTTTACTATTAAGAGCTTTTAAAATAATACTCTGTTCAACCTAATTCACACAAGTTGTATATAATATCTGAGTATTGTGAAATTTGTATTTAGGATTGAAAAGAACAATTTTGCCTTAGACTTTCAGTTGAGATAGATGTTGAAAATTATGTTTTCTTATAATATTTATTATGGATTTGTTGTATGCCAAGTACTAATCATATTAAATACACTTTCTCATTTTCTCTTATTTTTCCTATCATTGATGGAGTCAAGGTATAGAAAATGATTGTTTTAGAGTCCTGTTGTAATAAGTAGTAGTGAAAACTTGAATATTTTTTTTTTTTTATTTTCTCATAACATCAACTTCTTTTTGGTTTGTGCAGGTTTTAGAGAAAGTTTCTGAAACTTTTGGATATAGACATTTAGAAGACTTCATGGCTTCTCATTTAGATTACCTGGTTTCGGAATGGCTAAATCTTCAAGATACTGCATGCAGCTTATCTTCTTTTCCATTTATTTTACTAAACTACTCAAAGGTTGAGGATTTCTATCGGTAGGTTTGTGCAAGGTGCATGAGAAATGTTTCAAGTTAGATAATAGTGCTTTGCAGTCCTCTCTTCGTCCACAATGCTGCCTACCCCTCCACACTCCCTAGGCTTAACTGAAAGCACAGAATGTAAGAAGCAAGACAGCTTATTTGAGTGAGGGCGTATTGAAGGAATCATTGATCTTAGAATCTGGTCCTTGGTGTGCCACTAATGATCTGTGTGACTTTGAACAAGCTGTGAAAATAGTCTGAACATTAGATTTTTAATTTGTAAAGTAACGGAGTTGCATAGATTGTAAATTCCCATTCAGTTTTAACATTTGATATTAAATATTTCCTTCCTGTTGAAAAAAAAGACTATGCTAAGTTAGAAAATACCTACTTCTGCTTTCATTTTTTTTTGCTAACTTGACAGTGGACTGTTTGATCAGTGTTTATGTTAGATTTAGAAGTTTGATGTAAAATAATTCATTTTACTAACTCCCGCTCTGGTAAAGAATATTTTGAAAAGAGATTTTATCAACTGAAGAGTCCTGTTTAGGCAGCAGGATTCTGGAAGACATATGTTGTTTATTGAACATGCTCTGTGCTAGACACTTTGGTAGGCATTTTGTATGTAGTTTATCATGGGTGAGTTTCAGGTGCTTATAATGGTGCTTTCAGAATTTTTATAGATATAAAGAGTTATAGATAATTGCTTTTAAGAAGGATATTTAGACAGACCAGAGGCGGTGGCATATGTTTGTAATCTCAGCACTTGGGAGACCAAGACAGATGGATCTTAACTGAGGTCAGACTGGACTACATATTAAGTTCAAGACCAGCGGAATTACATTACAGCATCCTGTCTCCAGACAAACCTCAGAATTGAATGTAATGGTCCCTGTTTTCATTCATTTTACATTTGTTCTTTGAATTTTTTTTTTTTTGTTCTTTGAATTTAAGAATAGCTTTTATACTTCATTTTATAATAATTTTTTATTAAGTTGATTAGGCATAAGAAATGAGCAGAAATTGATCTCTCCTTTCTTTAATTGGACAGTTAAGACAGTATAGTCCAAGCTTTGGGGTGCTTTTTTTTGTAAGCAGGATTATTTTGAAATTACCTAACTTTATATCTCCATTTATAAAATGAAAGTAGTGCTCTGATTAAAATAGTGCTCTGATTTTTTTAGTGATGTTCTAGCTTTGACTAGATTAAAGCTTAAATTTTTACTTTGAAGACACAACGTTTATTTTAAATTCTTTGTATTTTTAGATCTCATTATAAGGTTTTGATTCCACATCTGGTGATTAGAAGTTGTTTTGAGGAAGTGAAGTCCATTGGTAATCAGATTGAAGAGGATTGGAAAAGGCTTCTCATAGACTGCTTTCCAAAGATTCTTGTCAACATTCTTCCTTATTTTGCATATGAGAATACTGGAGACAGTTGGATGGCACAGCAAAGAGAGACTGCTACCAAGGTCTATGATAGGCTTAAAGGTGAAAACCTGTTGGGAAAACAGGTATGGCTTCAGCTTCTACCTACCTTTTATTCCATAATTGATCTCAGATACAAGCTTTGATTTTAAAAACTTTCCGTCACATAAGCAACTGAATTTAACTTGTGATCACTATTTAGCTAGTGTGTGAATTTGTTGCTGTTTGATATTTTTCCCCTTTAATTGGTATTTAAATGTGAAATGTTATTAATAACAATGATGAAAAGGAACCAAACTTAATAAGGAATAGTTTGATTGATTGCTTCTTTGAAATACTTCCTTTAATTGCTAGTTCTGTGTGAATACAAGTTGATTGGTAAATTCCAATAAAAGTAAAGAGCATATGGAAGCTTTCCTTTGCAGTTCCTCTTTAGTTGCACTGTTTGCCACTTTTCTCTGTATCACACCACCGGTATATATTGGTTAATTATTTGTTAAAAAGGAAAAGTCAAGTAAAGATGTATTTGACAAACTTTGTTTTGTAATAACTTATATACTTGAAAGTTATTCAACACAACTTGTATTACATGTTTATTTTTTTTAAATGTTAATTTTTTTTTTTTTTGCTCCAAATGCCTTCAGGGCAAGTTTGGCTGGCTTGAGTTGTGGGGATCTAACCACAGCAACCTGAGCCTGACTGCTTTGCTGAAGCAGCCACTTAAAGTATTGAGCTACAGGGGAGGCCCCCAAATGTTAATTTTTTTAGTAAAAAAATTCTGCAACTCCTTATTTATTTGAGATGTGAGTGATGACTAAAGAACCGTGGTTAATGTAGTTGGGTGAGCTCAGAGACTTTTGCTTTCTTGTTTATATTTAATGAGAAAGTGAAACTCATTGTTCTGGAGGCAGATAGTGAGCAGAGGACAGCTCCATCGAAGACAGTTGGAATAGCATGTAAGCAGCGCAGAGGTGTGGAATTTGAGAGAGATACTCTGCCTTTACCAACCATTCCACTAAACATTCCAGCTTTTATTTCTAAATACCCTTATTCTTATTTTTAAAAATCTGTTCAAATCAAAAGATAACCATTTTTAGAGTAGATTCAGGAAGAAGTGATTAGATTCAGCCCTGGTTGAAATACAGGGATGAAAGAATCAAAAATTAAATAAATAATTTCTTAGCTTCTTGGCCAAAAGCACAAGTTAAATTCTTGCTAATCTCAGTTTCATTTAGCATTAATAGTTTATATATTTTAAAGATTTGAGGCAGCTTTTATTAAAACTTTTTTAAGTTAGAGAAGTCATCTTTATTAGTTATTTTTAAAGTTATTTATGCTCAGGATGTAACTTACATATTTTTTAAAAAAATTTATTTATTTGTGTGTGTGTGTGTGTGTGTGTGTGTGTGTGGCCAGCTCAGCCCATTAGGGGGCGGGGCTGGCTGGCATGTGGTGCTGGAGGATTGAACCGCAGTCCCTGTGCTTTGCTAAGCTTGTTCTAAGTAGGTGCTTTAGACCACTGAGCCATGTCACCAGCCCAGCTTATATTAAAACATTTTTAATGTAAAAAGTATTGATCATTTAGGATGCTTATAAATAATAATGAAATAAGTAGTTATGACTTTTATTTTTTGTCTTATGTGTGCATCTTGTCTGAATCAGTGTTCTATATTCTTTTTTTACAAAGTTAGTACAGTTATCTATAGTATTTAGAGTATATAAGATTGTTTAGCTTCACTAAGTCATCTGAATAGTTTATTTGTTCTTCTAGAAATTGTATATCCAGCTTTTAAGGAATCATATGGAGGTAGTAAAGGCAGTTAAATATGTAAATGCACGTAATAATTATTCTGCTGATAAAAAGAGTCAACCAACTTTTCTTTACTTACTGTAAACATAAGACTGGGTTTTGTTTTGTTTTTTTTGTTTTTTTTTGCGGAACTGGGGTTTGAACTCGGGTCCTTGTGCTTGCCAGGGAAGTGCTTATTCCACGGAGCCATCTCCCTGGCCCGAGACTGCATTTTAAGAGATGATGGCATAGATAATATATATAAGCCTGAGGAAAAGGTTCAGCTCTTTATGTTATGTTTCTTTCTTGTCAGTTTCTAAAATATTTTTTGTTATTAAGAGTTATGTTTTTAGGCTGTGTATACCTCTAGTAAAGTAGTCCTTTGCCTCTTAATTTAGAGCACTGCTCATTCTATTTAGAGTATGGATGGCCTTTGTGAAGCAACCTGTAGCAGAAAGTTGGTTAAAGAAAAGCCAACTTCTGTAGGGGAGGATTTTAGTCTACTGTTGATGAAAGAGGATGTAAGTAATAGCTATCCTCTAGGTAGAAGTCTGAAGAGAGGTCTTGTGAGGTACAAAGATTGGATTATTGCCAATCACTGGGAATTCATATTAGTAAAGCTCTGTAAGAGTTTCCTGACAAATGCAGGTGAGGAGCAGTATTATTGGTTAGTAGCAAATTTGGTTGGCAGCAATACTAGTTTGAGGAATGTAGTGCTATATTCAAAATTTTTCTTAAAATCTTTAAAGAGTTGGAGTTACGTTCTAAAGAATTTTAAATATCTAGAGTTGTTTGTGATGTGAATTTAAGGAATAAGTATAAGCCTGCCTTTTCCTTTTTGATCAGTGTGAAAATTTCAAGCATTAAGAATACATTTGTAACTAAGCTGAATCTCATGTGGACATTAAAGAAAATAGTGTTTGACATTTTACTTCTGTAAATAAAGCTACTAGCTGGATCTAAAAAAAAAAAAAAGAGTTAGATTAAAGAGACTTTGGTATGATTTCCCTCCTTTCTTCACAACCTAAAAGTTTCTGTAGAACAAAAAAGTAGAGTTAGCCATGTGTCTTACAGGCCCTGAATTTTAGTCCTACGTATATATACTGAGTAGTTATGAAAATAAGGATTTAACATAAGCCCTTAGCAGTCTTTTAAAGGTCTCAGATATGTTAAATATTAAGTATATTTTTATATTCTGTCTTTGCAGATTGATCATTTATTCATTAGTAATTTACCAGAGATTGTGGTGGAGTTACTGATGACATTACATGAACCAGAAGATTCTGGCGCCAGTCAAAGTGTTGACCTCTGTAACTTTTCTGGGTATGCACATTTTAAATTTGAAAAGCAACTTAACATGTTCTTCAGGAAGTTTACTGAGTGATACCTTCAGATGTCTTTTTTAGTTTTTAGACATGTACTTATTTATTTATTTATTTTTTGGCGGAACTGGGGATTGAACTCAGACCCACGCGCTTGCCAGGGAAGCGTTTATTCCACTGAGCCATCTCCCCGGCCCCTAGACATGTACTCTTTTTTTTTGATATGTATTCTTAAAAAAAAAAGTTCATTTAAAAATACCACCATTGACTTCAAGTAATTTCCTGTCAGCTTTTATGGTAGCCTCCCTTTGGTAGAACTTGTTTTTTCTCATGAGGTGCTTTGTTTATTGGCAAAACTAGTAATCTCTTCAGTCTTTCTGTAACATTTGAATATTGTGTCTTTTTTCCCAGTGAACATTATTCTTGGTTTTTTCTTAACTATGACTTGCCTTTCTGTATCACCTTTTCTTTTCTTTTTTCTTTTTTGTTGTCGTGGTACTGGGGATTGAACTCGGGATCTTGCATTTGCCACACAGGCACTTATGCCACTGAGATATATCCCCAGTCCTTGTATCACCTTTTCTTTATTATATGCTTTAGCTGCCAGAGTTATGCTCTATTAGCCAAACAATTCAGTTTCATATAAAATCTGCTTGTTTATATATGAATGATAGTTATTTTCCTATTTTTATTGTAAGCTACTTGAAAATCCTTTTTTTAAAAAAATGCCTAACTGTGCTAGGCATGTAAAATGGAAATAACATTTAACAAAGTAATCTGACATTTAACTTCACTCTAAATTTTATGAGCATGATTTTTAAAAAAATTACATATTTACTTACTTTGCAAGACTATGGGTTGAATTCAGGGCATGTGCTAGACAAGCCCTGTACCACTAAGCTATATCCCCAGCCCAGGCTGCTGTTTTTGTAGTACTAAGAGCTTTAATTCAGAGCTGCAGTGAAGTAGTAGTAAGGATCATTCCTGGAGCTATTAACTTTGTAAGAGATTTTTTAATGAAATCATTTAGATAAGTCATAATGAAATCATAAATACATTTTATGACTTCAGATTGATATATGTGAACTGTTAAATCATTTTTAATAGAAGTATAGTTCTTCAACAGAAAAAAAATGACATTAAGATGTGGGGGTTATTATCAGATGTTTATTTTGAAAGTTCACTAGTCTATCAGTAAGAGCAGTTTTTTCCTTTGTCTTGAAATTGATGGCTGTGTATTTTTCTCTTAACTCTTTAGGGATTTGGATCCTGCTCCTAATCCACCTTATTTTCCATCACATGTTATTAAAGCAACATTTGCCTATATCAGCAATTGTCATAAAACCAAGCGTAAAAGCATTTTAGAAATTCTTTCCAAAAGTCCTGTGAGTATACATTGCTAGTATAATAATTGGTAGCAAAATTCCTTTTTCAGTTAGGAAATCTGTCTATGTGTATCTTAAGGTGAAAAAAATTAACCAAATGAAAATTTGAGTAATTTTTTAAAAACATTCATAAGTTTAAATAGTATATATTAGTACTAACTGAAATACGTTATATATGAGGGTAGAGTTTTGTGATATTTTGGGCATACATTAGCTCAAGGAATATATGTACTATTTCATAAGAATACACTATAGTTTATTGTTCGTTTGTTTGTTTATTTTGGTACTGAGGATCAAACTCATGCACTTGCCAGGCAGATGCTTATGCAGCTGAGCTATATCCCCAGTTATGGTTTACTATTTGAAAGCTAATAAATATGCAGGTTTTTTTACATATTAGCATAGTAATTTTCTTCATGTAATACATTGTATTTTATGTCAAATGCAAATCTAAATTCTGTTAAATGTAATATATTCTTAATAGCTGAGTATATGTGATTCAATAAATTTTTACTGTGTTTTTATTTTTTAGGATTCCTATCAGAAAATTCTTTTAGCCATTTGTGAGCAAGCAGCTGAGACAAATAATGTGTATAAGAAACACAGAATTCTTAAAATATATCATCT